TCAACATTGTCAGTGTTGATCCTCCTCCTATGTGCTACAGTGAAACTTAAACTAAACCCTGACTGATGGTGACCAATTCTGGTCTCGTTAGGGTTCAGTTTTTGTCTTCTCGATGTCTTTGTCTGTCTTGCAGAATTCGTCCTTGTTTGTATTGAACAGAATTGGTGTTTTGCTGTCCCTTCTTGTCTTCACCTTACTGTGTTTGCATACGCATTCTCACGCACTCATGGCCAGTGTTGAGCAAGTTTTACACCGGTGGCAACATGACTTATTAGCATCCGCTTAAGTAAGAGAGAGTCTTAGTGCTTTGTGGGTCTCCCCGGACTCTTTTCCACTGTAACTGAAGTTCTCAGTTTGAAGATTATGAAGGTGCAGACCAGCCTTACTCACCTGTTATATTTTTAGTATTTTTATGGTTTTGTTGTTCGAGTGCAGCATGGTGGGATTGGAGGTGAGGTCTGGGAGCTTTCGGGCTGCATGGTGGATGTGATTAGGTATAGATGCACAGATTCATAGTAGTGTTAAAGTGGATATGCTTGATGTCTTGGTTGTCACATGCCTGGAATGAATCAATAAAATGAAATAATGAATGAGTAGCAAGTTCCTGCTTTTGTGTTACAGGTTCTCCCTATTTTTATCACTTTGCAATTTGGTACTTTGTCATGCTTCTCTTTGGAAGCAACCTTTGCTAACACAAGAAGACAACAAATTCATAACTATCTGCCCCTCTTTCACAGGAAGCAGATTTCTAATTCGGTTGGTAGAGATTACTGCTTGTCTCTTTCACAGCTAGCAAAAGCCCTTTGCAATGATTTAAAATACATGCAATCACTCTGCACACTTATCTTGAATGTAAACTGTCAAAAGCTGAAAAGACAGTTTGCACCCATGTTTTTGTGTTTATTTTGTAAATTATACATATTATTTTAAAAACAGACAATTAGAAGAACCCATCTATGCCTATGGACAACAGTAGAATACTATGTGCCTTCTGTTGAGCTTGTTTTGCCTTTTAAGGCAGACATCCAGTTTGTAATTTATTGTAAACAGAGAGCTGAAAAGCGCTTTGTGCAATGTTACTTTTAATTAATCATGAATGTGTGAATAATTGAACAAGTCAATTAGTTGGTGAATGGTCCGCTGTGTCAATAATTGTCACGTTTATTTTGTTTTAAATGGCTTCATCACACCAAAGCTGCAAAGCCGGACTTATTGATTCTACATAGGAACTAGTCACATTTACTGAGGCATGCATACCTCACAAAAAGACTAAGCAAACATGAAATTACTCTCTTAATTAAGATACTTCAAAACCAATTCACTGCAAATCAATTTAACCTTTAAAGGTAATGACTTTTACCACACATTTTTAGGAACCAAACTGGAAGGTCCTAATTGAAATTTTCATTTCAAGGATAAAGAAATTGAGGAACATTGATTTGTGGATGCAGGATGACTGAAAATTACAGGAGGTAACAAATTACCTCATTTTAAATTCTTATTTAGTCAATAAAAGAAACAAATGGATTGTTTGAATTCTTTGTGACAGGATTCTAACATCTGCTGACCATGTTTTTCATGGATCATTGTCCTGCTGCAGAACTCAAGTTAGTTTCAGTCGGATGCTCTCTTCCAGGATTTATAAGCAAAATTCACGGTTCCAGATCCTGAAGCAGCAAGACAGCCCAGACCATCACACTGCCGTCATGTTTTGCTGTCGGTATGAAGATCTCTTCCTGAAATGTGGTGTTACTTTTACACCAGATGTAATGGGACACACAACTTCCAAAGAGTTCAACTTTTATCTTACCCATCCACAAAATGTTTTCCCAAAATTCTTGGGAAAACATTCTTGTTCTGGAAAAATGGAGACAAGCCTTTATGTTCTTTTCCTCAGTTGTGGATTTTGCCTCAGAGCTCTGCCTTGCAGACATTGTTTTGCCTAGTCTCTTTTTTTATGGTGGAGGCATGACCTCTGACCTAAACTGAGGCAAGTGGGGCCTGCAATTCTTTGGCAACTCCAAGTCGATCCTGCCATTTTGCGCAGCTGAATAGCTGCCATGAGAGCTTAAAGGTTTTCTCAAACATGCATAAAAAGTCAGGGCAATAGGTGTGTTAATGTTGAGGGAATAATATTGTAACATGACATAAAGCTAAAAATGTTGGTCATAAATAATACTGCAGAAGCTCACAAAGTGCACAACAATCCTGAATAATGGTCCACTACAAATGTGAGCCATTCCTGATACGTTATTGTTAATCACAAGTAATATACAAGTAGTCTTTTTGTTTTTGTCATTTCTAATGTAAGGTTATGAATTTAGAGACGAAATACATATGAACATATTTTTATGTACTTTATTAGTTTGTTGGTGCTTATACATGATGCTGACTCAGGCTCAGGAAAACAAGCTAAAGAGAGGAAGTCTCTAGATTTACCACCTCTGCAGGGCCAGCAGAGTCCGTGGGGAGCCAGTGTGATTGCAGTGATATGGTTTAGGGTGGCAGCATGGTTAATGGAGTGGTAGTGATTAGATTAACAGAGACTGCCGGGCGTTGCAGTGTTTCTAATTGAGTTGCTGGGATGTCCCTGTTTGTTTTCCTCTGTTTGTTTGTGTCTTTATGTATTGTCCACAGTAGTTGGGCTGTGATTCTTCTCTGTTTTTTATCGCTGTTATGGGTACTTCATGCTTACAAGTCCATGGAATCATTGCCTCATAAATTACATGCACACACAACAGCTGCCTTTACCATGTGAGAGCCTCGTGTTCATTCATGCAGCTCAATGTTGCAGCACTAGCACTGCTTCATGACAGCAATTTAAGTTAATGGCAGGTGATAAAAAGCAAGTCAAGAGATAAACAGTCATTACATGCTGGTAAAGCAAAGTGTTTGATGATCACCAACACACAGGTACATGCACTTGTGCTGGATCCTCAGAGCATGCATGCATAATGTGATGTTTTACTATCCCAATAACTGCAATGACACTCCAGAAACAATTAGAGAGATGAAAAACTGAGTGGCTGCCCCATGGATTCAGCTTCCAAAATAAAACAGTTTTTTTTTCCCTCTATAGAACAGATGCAGTAGAGAAGATAAACCGGTAAAAAACTAAAGGTTGATGTAAGTGTCAAGCAGAAAAATAAACAAAGTTAGGCTCAAAGAGGAGTTCAAGTTAAACATTTTGTGGTTAATTAGAAATGTCTGAGAAATGGAGATGAGTGCTTTGTGAATTGAGATCTTAATTTTTTTTCAAACTTGTCAATACTTAGTTTAATCTTTTATTGCTTTCAAAATGACCATTAAATGGTGATGTTGATGCAGAATTGCACAATATGACAAATCACAATTTTCAGCATCGATGTCTCCAATATTGCAGTTAGTATAAAATTCTTGGATGCAATATTTTTGGTGGATTGTCATGCCTTTACACTTTCCTCACATTGGAAATTTTTCACCCGCTGAATAAACTTTATAACCCTTTTTGCATTCACGTGATTTAAAATGGTAATGGCTGAGATATAAAAGGTCCTGGAGATTGAAGATGACACAGTGTAATTATAAAGAAAGAAACGTACCAGGAAATTTTGTTTAAATCTTAACATTTAGACAATTTATCAACAGTCCTCAATATTTTCCAATAGGTTGCATTTAAATATATTCAGATGATACTAACTTATATGTGAGCTTTAAATTTTGTGCTTAAGCAAAGACATTATCTCAATATATTTTTTATATATGCCAATTTTAGCATCCACTTTTATTCACACAAATAGAAACTATATCATTAAAAGGTCTAAATTATATGTGAAGTTCGGGTGATGATTCTTTTCTCTCCGGGTGTACAGGCCTGCATAGACACCGTTTTTCCATGTGTGCAACCAAAAGCATCTTATTAACGAAGAGTTTGAAATCAAGAGTGGGTTGCAGTTCCAGGCCAAGAATGGGTTTATATATTATTCATTTACTGGGGATGTTCCCTATTGATCAGATTCCAAGTGTTTCATCTGGGTTCTGATCAACCCTGGCTGGAGGAAGATTTTATTGACCTAAAGCAGCTGAAATTTAAATGCAGATTGCTGCTTTCTCATACTGTATTACCTGCTGCTACCACTACCAAATGAGTGTCTGTTGTCACCTCGGATTCAAAATGATAGCTGGCACTGAAAGGTTGTCTTATGGTTACAAATGAAACCTGATAAAATAATGACCCACCTCTCTGTCTGTGAGTGTGACCGTTGTGCACTGCTGTGTGTGCAGCAGTGTTTTAGTGTTTCAGTAAGACTCTGCTGGAGTTATCTGGGTTAGGAGAGGATTCATTTTTAATTTATCTGGAGCGATGCAATAGAACAATAGCCCATAAAGACAGGAAGTGATTACTGTAATCAATTTCCGAGAAAATGATTTTTGTTTTTGCTTGGAGATTTAAAACACACAAATTATAAACCAGCTTTCAGGATGAATCGTTAATTTGAAAGGATCGCATATTTAATCTGGCACTTTGTTGTTGACCACTTGAAGCCCCAGTTGCGACCCATTAATACACTGTCTACTTTCTCACAGGCATAAACACACATGTAAATGATTAAGATGTAGCTTATACGAAAATGCCTTATAACAGAAACTTCTATTGTCTGTGAGACCTTCAAGGAACAACAGTCATGTCACCATTTCTCATAACCTTATTTAGGAGAAGGAGATGGAATAAAATGTGCAGCATTTAATATTGAAGGCTTTCTGATAAAGTTTTATTTTTTTCCTTCAATACAATAATGAGTCACTGAAGGTAAACCTTTTCCAATACCATGACTCATTCAGACATACTTAACCACATAGTTTTGGTTAAAGCACTGGCACTACAATGCAAAAGAACAAAACGACAAGAGAAGCAAGGAAAACATTGAGTATTAAAGATGGTTTCCATACAGGATGCCTGCTTTGTGATGAAGGTTTATTGGTTAGCATGAACTGACTTCCTTGTTTGCCGTGTCTTGCAGTCCTTGCTGCTGATTCGCCAGGAGATGGTGGTGTCCCAGAAGAAGCTCGGCGAGTTCTGTGAGGCTCTGAAGCAGTACCTGAAGAATGTCTCTGCTCAGAGAGACTGCTTTCAGTAAGTCTCATTAATGCTCTACACTTTTACAACTGCTGAGCTGCACAGAGCACAACTGTAACCCCTTTTAAATGATTAATGTGCTCCATGTTAGGAGACAAAACCTATATAATATTTCTCACTTTATTTATCAACGCCTCACATATTTCCTCCACTGGTTGTTCCTTTATTAGTAGTAGTTTGTGTTCCTGCATGTACGCCAAATATTACATGTGCTTTCAGTACTTTAGATCAACAAAAGAATAATATTCAATGCAAATAATGAAGCAGCTTTTGTGTGGTCTGATCTAGAGATGCTGTATCTGTTGGATCCTCCTGCATCTCCCACTCAGACTCAGCTACTGTGAAACACTAATATCCAGAGAGATTTCCCCAAATCCCAGACTTAATATTCTCCATGTGTTGTCCAGAGTCTTGTTCAGTTTTTGCCCCTGGCAAAACGTAAAGGTTCTGGTTCTGCTGCACAACGTTTTATATTACCTCTTAGGCCACCATTTACTGAAGTAAAAGGTAAAGTCTCAGCACGAGGGAAAGGTTTAAATCTTGATACCAAAAGGTCAAATGAACAGGAAAAAGCCAGATTCATTCTTGGAAATGTATTATGCTCCCACCATCCCTCTTTAAAACACAGTTTCTTGTTGTACTGTACAGAAGAAAAAAGTGACAGGTTGGTTTTAAGATGGTTTTTTTTGTTTTAATTTAAGTCTGAAGAAAGGCTTTTGCCCACAAGGCAAATCCCAACGGGTTCAAGGGAGCACACAACTGGATCTGTTTTTTAGTCATATTTTAATAATAATAAAGGTCCTAAAACATTATATTTTTAAAGATTACCAAGTAAAAGATTGTGCCACATACAGGAGCCTCAACAAGGATAAAGGTGGAACTGAAGGAGGCTGCATAAGTGTAATGAAAGAACAACAAAAAAGCTTTTGAGTTGAAAAGATGGAGCAAATTGTGTTGTACTTCTTGGTAAGAATAGGTAATTACTGTACCAATTAAAGTTATGTTGATTTATTTTTATTTTTTTTGTTATTGTTAAAATTTAAATTTCTTGCAACAAAGACAAACTAAATGTGATTTTCTTCTTTTATAACAGAAATCTATCTCCGGCATATCCATTATTGTGGCATTTAGTTAATGAAAATAATTTTTGGCATCCATAACTGACCTACAGAAAGTGAAATTTGGTCTGAATTAACTTCAGGAGAAGAGTTGTTGTTTTAGTCCATGTAAACTTTTGGATCTCTCTCTCAGCTCTGTGAAGTTTAAAATTAGGAATACATTAAGGTTTTACACTTAGAGAAAAACACTATAGATGCTCTAACAGAAAAAAAGTCCTTTCTGAATTTGAAAAAAAAAACACTATTCACTCCAGCAGGAACTTATGGGATTGACTGCTTGTCAGGTGTCAACATATTAACACACACAGGCACCAATCAACAAATCTCAGTCTGCAGTTGGCATTTTTCTTTGTTCCAGCAGGTTTAGGTCGAGGATTTGCTAAGAGGATTTCTTAGTGGAGGAATGTTATTGCTTGTAAATATGTTTTTTTTTTCTCCTACTTTTTTATATTTCATAAAGTGTTTTATAAAAGGTTGTTTTCTCTTTGCTTTCCCAACTCATTATCTTTTAATGTGCATGTGTGATTACATGCACAGCACTTTATTAAACCCTCAAGCAGAGCTTAAAATGCACAGCTTATTCTTATGAGACCAGGTAGCAGTTAACTTATTGCCCTCTAGAGTTTCATAGAAGAATTGCATGCACACTAAATGTTTTTTCAGCATATGGATCCGATGTTGAAACGGTGTTAAAAAAAAACACTGTTTGATTACTGTGATCATTTTAAGATACTATAGACCTTAAATGCAATTTTCTGGCAACAGGTCAGGTTACATTTTCGTATTTGAGAATCATTTATTACAAGAAGTTGCAAGAAATCTTACACCTTACTTTGTACATTACTTCCTTAATAACCTTTTACATGGTTACTATTATTGTTCATTGATCAGTATTCATATTTAGTAAATCAGTTGGGTGTGCAAGCTTTTATTTTTGATAAATAGGGTTTTCCATTTCAGTTAATGAAAACATGACATTTAAGATTAGAAACTAACAGACTTATTCGACAAAAAAAAAAAAAAAAAAAACAGGATACAGCAATGTGTGTTAATACCTGCTTAAAGATTTTCAGAATGTTCTTTTATTCTGGTAAACAAACCTCAGAATTACATGCAAGATACGACTACATTTTAAAGTTTGAATGAATTTTCTAGCTGAAATTCCATGAAAGAAGTTGACTTTGAAAAAGTGTAAAGCTTTTAGCAGAATTGTTTTCCCCAAAAGAATGTAATGTTCCATTCATTTCAATAGGGCTCTAGATGATCAGAAGAAGCTGAATATTTTGTAAACTGTAAAAGATGTCAATACCAAATGACAACCATAATGTTCTGAATGTGCAGAATATGGTAAAAGTTGAATGGCGGAAATAGCACAAAGTCTGTAGAAGTAGTTAATGGGTGAAAAGTGTGTGGGGAGGGGAGTGGAGAAACTCGAGTGGAAATGCATATAGCATTTTTTTGTCGGCAGAACAAAACAGATTTTAATTATTCTCATGAACCGGTGGTCTTATTTTTCCTTCCAGCACCTAAATGCATCACTTGATAGATAAACTGGCACGATAGGAAGCGCTGGAAATAGATCCCATATTGACTATGAGAACCTTCTTGGGTTCCTGTTTTTACACATTTGTGCTCCTCTGGAAGCAATAATGGAGCATGTAGTTTATTACAGTGAAATAAATATGTGAAAAGTCCAATAATGATATCAGCTATTTACTTATACTGTTACAGTTTATTCTTGTTCTTTATGGATGCGAGTCTCCTTCCTAATTTTCCTTTAATTATTCCTATTATTTATCTGATCTCTTGTTTTCATTGTGCTTTCATCTTTTTCTTGACAATGATGTTTTCTATGCTTTATTGTCTATCTTTTCTTCTACACTTTTTCCTATTGATTCTTTTCTCTTCCAATATCGCTGCCTTCCTGTAGACATAGAAAAAATGTGAACATTAATTCCTTCAACTCATTCTTGCTTCCCTTTAGCGTGACTGCAGTTCGTCTGCCAGATGGTTTGTCCTTTGTCGTCTACGAGTTCTGGGATGGAGAGGAAGAGTGGAAGAGGTGAGTGAGAAAAATTAGGATTAAAATAAATCTTGCATTCCAGATTAGGATTTTAGAAATGAGGTATTTGTGCCCTTTCACAAACTTTTATATAAACCATCACTAAGTAGCACATAGCTGTGAGAGGAAACACTTTCAAACAGGTTTACGGATTGAAATCTAATGATAGCCTAAATAAAACCAAGGGTAACAAATTCTAATCAGGAGTTACATAATTCGCTAATTGTGTCTGTTTTAATGTGAGCATTAATTCAGTGTCAAAGGTTTGTTATAGAACATTACGGTGCTCAAACTGCATCAGGGCCACAGAGGAACCGCGATAGCTCAGAGATTAAGCAATTAAAAAATCTCCAGCTACGGTCCACTTTTCAATTCACAATCTGAAAATGATGCAGTAGACCCCTGAAATCTGTGGGACTAGGAACCACAACCACCCACAAATAGAATACACAATTATGAAGCCCCCTATAAAAATACTAATAACTGCCTATTTTACTACACAATTATACACATTGTGGAAACCAACTTAGCACTGCATTTCTTATCTCTGCTATTCTGGGCACAGTCAACGAACGCCATGGAAAATGAAGTTCACTCCTGGATTGGTTGATGTGCAAATGCCAATAGCATGTCAAGTTGCACTTCACTTCGGTATTTCAGCTGCCGAAGCTGCGTTTTGAATATTTCAGATGTGGTTTTACAAAAAAATAAAAATCAACAATGATTTAGAGATAAGTTTGGTAGAAAAACCTGTAAATAATGAACTCACTCCATAGCTATCAAAGGGATTGTCGAGGCAGGAAGAACATTAATCCATAGAGACTGTGGAGGAGCTGCAGAGATCCAAATCTCAGGTGGAGGAGTCTTTTGATGAAACATCTACTGGACGGTCACTCAGAAAATCTGGCCTTCATGGAAGAGAGGTCAGAAGAATGCAAAATGTGGTTCTAGAAAATACTGACACAAGAAGTGAAATAAAATAGAAAACCATATTTTTTATTCGTAAAGACAAAATGTTTTTCTTTCCTTCTTACCTCATTGTGTTTGTGTTGGTCTATCATATAAAATCCAATACACTGAACCTTCTAATCTTACCGAGACAAAATTTGTTCAAGTCGTATCTTACCTGCCGCAGAAAGCCATCACAAGCTGACTTGAAGAAATTAAGAGTGAGCAGAGTACAGGGCCAATTACAACTAGTTCAAGCAAAGTTTTGGGAAGCTTTTGGAATTTCATCCGATGTAGCAGGCAAAACAAAACATATGTAAATGAGGGAGCACTGCTACAGTGAGTGAAGACATTCATATCGAGTTCTTTTGAGTCAGCATTCCAGCTTATCTGAAAGGATGTTTGAGCCAACCAAGTCATTTCTTCCTGCAGCACTGTTTTTCTTATTGATTGGTGACCAGCAAATAAATAAAGCACTCACTTTCCTTTCATTAATGTCCTGAGCCTGTTGGATAAATCCCCCCTTCCCACATTTAATTAGCATTCCTCAGCTGCATCAAATCACTGTGATTTAGTGATGGTGGGCATGAGGACAAGCTGCTGATCTGAATTTCTGCTCCGCTGCTCACAGCATCTCGTCGCTATTAATATTTCAGGCCTTACAGTAAAGGCTAAGCAATTTGAAGCCATGCATCCTTTTGAGTGGCTGTGTGTTTGCACTCTCACCTTTTTCCTCTGACTTCAGGCACCTTCAATCGCCTCCCAACAAAGCCTTTCAGCATGTGAAGGTGGACACACTGTGCAAGCCCGAGGCCATCTCCTCCGTAGCAGTGCCAGGTTAGTGGAATGGCCATTAATGGAAAATTAACTTCATGATCTTGACCTTCATTGTGCAGTATAGGCCTTTAGCTCAGTCCATCATCCCCAAAATGCCACTTTTTAATGTTTAAGACCAAAACATTCATCATTTTAATAATGAAGTAAGTGAAAGTGTTGATGCAGAGCTGCACAGCATTGTCTAGCCATAGCGGTCTTCGTGCAACACTGATGAGAAGCTGATTTTCAACTAACTTTGCCAGCAGAGCGGCTTAACAAATCAAGATGTCTTCTGAGAATAAATCACTGCCACCACAGCTGCTGTCGTTTGACCAGATGAGATCATTTGTCATCTTTTATGGTTCCATTCTGAGCAAATGTTTTAAGTATAACATTTATTTTTGCAACCAGGAAATCACTGTTGAAACCACATATTTACTTGCACCACATCATTGTACAGCATCCAAAGCATCTCTGAATGTACTTGTCTCAGTTAATGTCAGTGTTCATGATTTTACAATATTAAAAAAAGACTCAAGCAACATTAATATCGATGAGTGACTTCTAAAGCTAAAACTACTGCTGACCAAAAGGAAGAACAGTCCCTTAGATCTGGCATAAAACCAAACAGCACTTTAAAAAAAACTAATGATATCAGTTTGTTTTGCTGCTTCAGGCCCAGTTTGAGATGCATCTTTGAACTGGAAGTGCAGTAAGCAGTAATACTTGATGCTTAATCAGCCCGTTTTGATCTGAATCTTCAATATTCAGTTGTGGACTAACGACATGGCTACTTTTGAACAATTTGAATAAAACTAATCTTCAAGGCATTGCTTGTCAGGCTGTTTCTGATCATACCTTGAATAACTTTCCCAGTCTCAAAGCTTCTTCCTTGTTTCCTTCTGCAGCCGCCTGGTGCAGCGTGAACAGGGATTGAGCATGAAGATGATCGACTACACGCCAAGACTCCTCCTGGACACTTTCTTTTACTCCAACCTGTTTACTATCCCTCCTCCTCCCTTTATCCTTTAACTCTTTTTGTAAGTACATGTTTACATAGTGCAAAGGAAGGGCATCATCTGCAGAGAAAATTTTTCAATTTAATGTGAGAAGACAAAAATGTTTGCAATGGGATGATATGTTGCTTAAAGTAGCTCTGAGCCACTTTGAGGAAGAGTTTATGTAGCAAGGAATATGAGTTTGTAAGTCATGTAGCAAAGTCTGTTTTTGGATTATACATTGGCATTATTATTTTTATTTTACAACACTTTATGATGGTGTTGCCGTAAACTGCTCATCCTTTTAGCCTTCATTAACAAGTTGCAGCTAACTCTACATTTCTGAAAACATTACACTCACCTTGACCATTTTAAACTTGCAGAACTGATTAGGACCATCAGCAGCCATAAATGTCAATTTAGTTTGTACTCAGGAAAAATGCAAGCCTCTGATAGCTGCCTCTCTAGTTAAAGTTATGCAACTGGAAACTATTAAATAGAAAATTAGGACAGTATAAAATCAAACTCCAGTAACTCCCACCAGGCACACAACATATGGCTTTTTGCAATGCTGTACTGATGTAAGTTGTTTGTTTCATGTAAGGATAGTTATGACATACAAGTTGGTTTTACTGCTCCAGATACTAAACAGAAACAGTCCAAAGACTGCGGTATACACTGCTTCCATGTCCATCTTACTTTAGAGAGCATCAAATTTATTCCATGCATACAGCTCAGAAACTAGTTCTAGGGATCCCACATGTCAGATTTTCAACAGTTGCTACATATTGTTAATGGGATTTAAATTGCCTAATTTGTATCCACAGTTAAGTACTCTTAATTGTCATGCTTCAGCAGAGGAGTCTTAAAAAAATTTCTATTTGAAAAAGAAAAAAATCAGGGCTTCTTGTTTTAAAGAGCATTCTGATGATATAATGGCTGCTGTGGGTGTAATGAGTAAATAAGGTTTTACACACCTGAGCAACAAAACAGCAATCATCTTATGATTAGTTCCTGAAAGGAACTAACCAGGAATCTTTTCACAAAGATTCAGTGGTAACCTATTCATCGTTTTACATACGGCTTCGTTTTATTTCCTTAATTTATGGGTAGAGTTTATTTTTGTTGGGACACAGATTTTGGAGAAAGAAAATGTGAAGCACCTTGCTGCTTTTCATGCAATTCACTTGCTCTACTTTTTGCCTCAGTCTACAATTGGTGATGGTTAGCTCATATTAGTGGTGACTGTCTAGCAGAGCTTGTACATATTAAAACTGTTCTATTCTGATTATATTTGTATTTATTGACACGTCTCAGTGATATGGTGTAAATTCTGTCCCGGTGAAATTGGATTCAGGCGGTGCAGCAGTTTCTCTTCAGTTTGTTTAAAATCTGTAACAAAGTCTGATTTAAAGCCTTAAACATAAAAAAAAAAAAACTGGAGCTGGTTTGGAACATTTGCTGGACCTTTGATTTCAAGTAAACAAGCTTGTGTGAAATACACTTCAAATTTTTCCATGAATATTGTAGAAAAAATAATTAGATTCCCTGACATATAATCACATTCACAAGATATATTTCACTTTTTGTATGAAAAATCAGTAAGTATAGTTACCATAGCATTATCACAAAACCACCCTGATACAAGAGTTTACAAACCTGCATGGGTGTTTCGGCCACAGAATATACAATGCTTCACTTAAACATTCAGCTGTTAAATAACAATTGTAGTTATGTGAAGATGGAGTCGTCTAAGGTTTTTTCTGGTTTTGGGGAGTCGAATTAGGCCACTTGCCTTGTTAAAAAGGAAACCGCCACCATTGTAAAGCAATCAGACTAAAAAAGCACAATGTAAAAAAAAATACGTTTACATAGTGACCAACATGAAAGTATTTAGAAATCAATAGTATTGCCATTGGCTTTCACTTCAGTCCTTGTTTGACTCACTTTCATCTGCACTTCTGCTTCCTATCCAAGAGAGACAGTCAGTAGTAGAAAGTTGGGAATCAACCCTCACTGGCACTTCTGTCAATCCAGCACCAATTCCTTCCTTTAGGGCGCTGGGCTGCCCTGAGCAGAGTCAGGTCTCCGGGACTTGCAGAATAATAATATCCAGCTGCCGAAATACCTTTGGATTTCTATTACAGACGTGAGAATTGTTTTCAGTAACCTCAAAGGTCTAAAGGGACCCTGCAGAGGTTTTGAGCTCTTCAGCTACAAAATAGTGTTTTTAGAGAAGAACTGGGCCTTTTGAACAGTTAGAGATTAGGTGCCATTTATGGAGTTATTAAAGTTTAGAGCAGTCATCTTGAAAAGTATTTTTTCTCCCTCGTTATCAGTAGGTATCAACATTGCTGAAACAATGACAACCTACTTTCCAATTCGCAAAAGTGCATGTCAATTTGGTTTCGCATCCATGTTCAAATGTTTTAAGGAATAAAAATTAAGACTACTAATACAAACTAACAAACCTTGCTCAGTGACAACTTTGAACCTTGCCATAAAGCAGACCTAAAGCTAATGACAGAGAGCACAATGTGGCTCAGCGTGCTCCAACAATTTCTTTACAAAGCTGTTGTCTGACTACACATAAATATGAACAAACAAAATTAACTGTTGAAGCAAATAAACAAGAAAGCAAAACATTTATGTGTCCTATGTGTATTGTCCTATCAATATCTTCGGCTATCGATAGGACAATGAATCATGTAATTCATGTTTACTTGCATTGCTTACAGTTACACATTTTTAATGCGGATCCGACATTAATCCTACTTGTGGTTCCTCTGCTAGTCTGAGCCCAACTTTAACATACCAACATTTGACTCCTTACTCTTGACCAATTTATAGCCTTTCATATGGCAATGCATTGCATCCAACAGCTGATTGTACACCTCAACAACTTAACATTTAAACTCCTCCTCTGAATGATATGAGTTTCTACAAGCCACTAAAGCAAATCAGACGCCAGGGAGTTACGGTTTTTGTATCAAAATAAATACTGTTGTGTATCCTTTGATGCCAGTGACACTATGGGTCAATGTTGAACGCGTCAGCAAAAACCTTTGTATCCATTCTGCAAACTACCATCCAACATTGAGGCACAAAGACTGCATACAAGTCTGATCAATTAATTTAGCTGCCTGGGCTACTATGCCTACATTAATGGAAACATGAACAATCCAGCTGGAAATCAAAAAAAGAATCATCAATTTCAGTCACAATGGAGATTAATTTGTTTTAACTGTTAATCCCTTTTTTTTAGGAGATGGAGACTAACGATTGGCAAGTCTAAACATGTCATTTTAAATATGTAGTTTTTAAACCCATTTTGTTTTTCATTTGTTGTCAGGTTTTCAAGCAGTTATTTGGCTACAATGCATTCCCAGTGTAAAATAATGCCTTCCCAATTTGCTCAATTTTAGCAGAGATGTATTTAATCTTTGCTGTGATTGAAATAATTTTAAATCTCCTCCCCCCCCCAAAAAAAAACAGTAAAAATTGTTGCTTTGATTAAATCTTCACAGATTTAAGTTCTCACAATTTAAAGTAGAAATTAAGTCAAAACATGAGTCATATTTGCTTTCTATAAGAAGTTGAAGTACTCCAGTAAAAACGAAGCCATATTGCATGAATTGGTGTTTACCTACAGCTTACTGAAAGCCATAAGCTTTACAGTGTTCAGCGCAGCCCACGCCGTCTAATCGAGGATTCTTTCTTGGGGTTGAAAGTTGACGATTTAGAGGTTAAAAAAAATGAGTACTGTTTCCTGTTAATACATTCCTGAATGTCCCTCAGACTGTGTACTTTTTCCACCCTTCTCCCGCCTCCTCCTCAGTGCTTTGTCATACAATGAAAGAGTTATGTCGTTGAAGTGTTTCACACCAGTACGGCGTCAATGTTAGCTGCAGGAAAGAAAAAGAAAAAAAAGAACGGATCTGATGTTGCTGCTGGTAACATCAGAGTCTGTCATCAAGCGATACAAAAAGCCAATCAGGAATTTGCCAAAATATCAAGGCCATAACTCTTCCTTTCTATGGCGGTGTTCTTTTCTATCCTTCTATTGAGTGCATGTCAACTGAATGTCCAGTAATGTAGTATTAGGCCATGCTACTCCTTCAATAGGTTTTGTGCATTTCTTACTTTATTTATTTTCTAGTATTCCTATGACAAAAACAGACTAAAAATGTATTATATAAATACATATATAAGAAAGACGACATAAAAGAATGAATTATCACTTTTATGGCGATGTTTGATGAAATATTAATTCTTAATGTATGTTTCAGTAAAACTGCTTTCTCTTCAAATGTAGAGACTTATTGCAGGGATGCAAGTATGATCTTTGGTCTTTGAAGAATATTTTGTTGAAATTCTAGATGATGTAGAGTGATACAATTCAATAAAACTATAAAGCTAAAAATTGTATTGTTGGGAGTTCTTGAATGACAAGGGGTGAGGAGTTGATCACGGCTGGTTATTCAACTTGTTTTTAATCGGTTGTAATAAAATAAATTAACTGTGAACCAAGAATTCACATCAAGGCGACTTAAAAATGCTTAGTAATTCTTTCCAAAATTTTCAGCAGTTTAAATTTATTATGATGGACATTTTAAACCGCTAACAACTAAGATTGTTCTCAGATTTTGTGAAAGCATCTTGATTATCCCAAAGACATCTGGAAAAATATTCTGTTGACTAACCAGACAGGGAAACTTGAAGGACAATGTCATGACATCAGATTTTGACCTTAAGCTCAAGGCGCTTGGGTTATGCAGCAGGATAATAGTCCAAAGCAAAGCAGCAGGTCCACCTCTGAGTAACAACACACAATCACAAGTTTTGGACTCACCAAATCAAAGAATAGACGATGTTGTGGTGTGACCTTATAACGGGCCACTTCTGTTTGCAGTTATTTAGCTGCACTGAAAGCTTTTCAAAGATTAGCAGGCTAAAGTTTTTCCCCACCCAACTAAAGATCTACTGCCAATTTCCACTGATTTTTATTGTATTCATTTATTTATTTTTTTGGCTAATTATTTGGAGTAGAGAAATTATCTGTACCAATCAATGAAAAGGCTAGTTTTGCCTTGCTTGGCCCTGACAGGTGATCAAAAGGCAAATGCCTAAAATCTAAGGATGCCACTCAAATCAGTAAACCCCATGTATTTTGATGCACTTTTTAATTTAATAAATCAGATGATTATGAATTACATGTTTTGATGCGGAGATGGGAATTACTGGATTTTTTTTTCTTTTTTTTTATGGATTCTGCTCAACTATTCCTGTCAAAAAAAACTTGAGCTAAATTTTTCCTTTTATGGTACTGGCAGGACAGACCTCAATCAGAAATCTAAATTGGCAAAGAAAAATATGATGGGTGTAACTTAAGTTTGGACCCCTTCTTGAGAAAATGAATAAAAACAGCGCCCAACAACAGCATCAACAAATAGCAAGAAAACACTTTAAAGTTTTACTCAGTCATTGACACAGTAGCAGAAAGTTTGGAGTTTTTTTTGTCACAGTGCAGCTATAATCAATAAATTCACATAAAAAAAATCTTCTACAGCACCATTTTACTGGCTGTGTCCCAGTGCAATGAAACCACTGAGCTGAAAGCTGAAAAAGTGTGTGTCCGTGTCCTCGGTATTCAGTTTCTGTCGTCCGTCACTCAAGAGTCATAACTGACCTCAGGAGGAGCAAAACAGTTCAGACTTATTCATAGACGTCCCTGAGAGGTCAAATCTTTCCAAGGAGCTCCATCACAGCGATGGTGGTGCTTTGACCAAAAATAAAGGCTCCACAGACCAGGGTAACTGCTCCCCAAATGGTAAGGGTGATTCTGGAAAGAATTAAAAAAAAAAAACTACATTAGTATACACAAAGTTTATACTTCTCATGACAGAATATCCACAGCTGGGTAGAGAAAACTATTTAATATGATTAACACAAAAATAGGTTAGTGTTGCAACTACAAACCTTCAATTACATTAAGATGCTCATATATGCATATCCTCTGTACTGGTAGATTAACTGTTGGAAAAATTACTTGCAATCAAATCATACCTAGTTGTGGTTAATTTCAGAAGTGTATTAAGACAATCATCCACAAAATGTTCTACAGGCATTTTTTTTTTTTTTGCCACCATAAGATTCCATAAAACCTTAGTGAAATTAAATCTGATTTAATTTACCTAAATATAAAATCTAATATTTATTAAGATTATTAAATTAATATAATTAAATTGCATTTAATTTTACCACAGACTGCTGTAGAGACCAACAAGTAAACTCAAAGCTCTGGATTTATGCGTCAATCTTCCTGTGTAGCCGTGAGATTTGGATCACAACTAGAAGATCGAGATGCAATTTCTCCTGAGGCATCCCACTGGGAGGAGTCTCTGGGGCTGACCCAGAACTCGCTGGAGGGACTACCACATCCCATGAGGCCCAGAAACAACTTGGGACGTTTCAAGAATGAGCTAGAAAGTGCTGATGACGGTTATCCGGGATGCCCTTATGGACCCGTTACTATGGCAACCGAACAGGTATAAAACAGTGGATGATTGTTTAAAAATATTAAGTTTAATATTCATCAATCACCTAAGAAGAAATTGTGTGTACTGTAATGAAAGTGTTTTTCAAGAATGAAACGCTGTCACCTGAGTTTTATAGCATTTAATTTCAGTCTTGATGGAAAAAAGAAAAGCAAAAAATGAGATGTTTAAAATATTTTAATATCTTCACACATACACAGGCCAAAATACTGCAAATAAAGTGTTTTTCTATAGTTTTGCCATATCTATTTTCATATGTAAACTACTTTTTTTTTTTTTACCTATAACGGTCAAAAGATTTTTTATATTTATTTTAGCTTTTTTTTTCTTTTGCAGACACGCTGAACCAATTCATTGAGGCTGGTAGAAATTAAGCAATAATAAGAATACAAAAAAGTAAAACTGAAACCATTATTTTTTGGATAGTAAGAAATAATAATTACTGATGTATTAACTGGTTGTCCCTCTACACTAGATGTTGGTCCTTTCTTTTATTTTCTGGTTTTAGTTCTGCTTTGGGTTTGCACAGATCTAATCAAATTATGTGGACTCACTACAGGGAATGAAAAAAAAAAACAGCTGCTTAAACAGATGAGCAATTCAGATTAATTCACAGTTAAATTCATTAACATTTAAATGAAGCTTGTCCTCACCTGGTCTTGCAGGATACTGGCTCAGATTGCATGGCAAACATCAAACAGAGTCCTGTAGAAACAAACACACACACACTCTTTAACACAACAGCAACTGGTTTTATTGAACGTACCTACATGACAAGAGCTCTACCTGGGAATATAAAGATGAAAAAGGCACTGATTCCTCCAATGACACTGATAACTTTACTGATGTCTGGTACAAACACAGCAATGACTAGCGTCGTCATTATCCACAGAACCGTCAGAACCCATCGGCTGCGACATTCAAACTTCACCATCAGCGCCTCGCCCCGTCTCCTCCACCGGCTCAGCAGAGGGTCCTGCATCACTGATCTGATGTGTTCAAAACATATTTTAATGTTATTTTAACACAACATTAAAATATATAATGAGACTTGAAAGACAACAAAATGTGCACAGCAGAGAGATGTCAGATTGAGTTTGGAGAATCACAGAGAAAAGAAGCCACTAATCTGCTGATTTCTCTATTCTCTGGATTAGAGAACAGCCCCAAAATAGAGAAACTATCCAGTAACAACTGTATGGACAGGAAATTCCTGGTTGAAATGATAGCCAAGAGAGGCTCACACTGGTTTTAAAAGCAACATGGCTGACCTGCCCAGCAACACGATGATGGGATAGATGGTGATTATGGAGACTCCAAACAGCAGTCTGGCAACGAGCATGAGTTTGTCATGAGTGGAGTACGACATTAAAATGTCCGGAGCCACAGTCTTTCCAAATGTCAGGTATCCGTAAACTCCTAAAGCAAAAACCTCTGTGAGTTCACTGTTGTGTCACACAGGTGAAAAGTCACAGGTGTTCTGACCTGTGAGGGAGTAAATAATGAGACAGATAACCATCGCGACCACAGAGATGAAGGCCCAGTGAGAAAGCCGCTGGTTCTCCATGCTGCTGTAGATGGCGATGGAAGCCTCATGGCACTGCAAGAACAGAAACTCCTCTTATGTTATGTTGAACAATCAGTTGAAAAGGTTACAGGTCGCAATAACTAGAATGAACATCCACATTTGGTTTCTCTTTTTAAATCTATCTGCAAAAGAGCTGAAATGAATGAAAACTCCCCAGCATGTCAAACTAAAATTAAATTCAGTCTACAGTGGCAGCTGGTGTCCCCTTTATGGGAGAGAGAAATTACTTGACCATGTTTTTATTCAAAACACCTTTTCTTCAAGTAAGCAATAAAGTTTAATTACCCCTTGTCCACTCTGTAGTGAAAGTTCATGCTGAAACATTGTAAATTAATCTCCAACCTTTAATACAATGGAGTTTAGATATTAAATTTGGCTCTGTAACCTAAGCTATCACACACTTTGTAATTATACAATTGAATGCATATAATACACTACACTCGATGTTATTAAATCCAGCATAACAAGAAACCGTTCTAAGTCAACAACCTGGGGCACTGGTTTCTTTCCACCAGGGACATAACTTGTAGCTCATCATATGAAACCATGTTGCTGATGTGATTCCAGCATAAAGTCAAGAGTTAAAGGAAAGCTCACAGTTCTACAATGTCTCAGACTTAAGCCATCAAGACTTCAGGATTCTCACTCCTGTCCCAGCTACCATCAGCTGCTTTAAAATCTCCCTTCTCTGTTCGTCCCTTCCCCTTCGATCAGGACCTCATCAGCTCTCTTTTCAGCACTCTGCCTGACAGAGTGTTGGTGTGAGAAGCAATGTATCAATCCAGTTGCACTTTCCTTTGGCTTTATTAGATCCTACTGACAGCAGTCTTCAGAGGTTACAAGGGCAAGCTGGGCAGTTGCACATAAATCAGTCCTACTGCTGACTGACAGAATGAGCTCCGAGCTCACACTCTGCAATATTAAACATTATAAAGTTGACACAGGTCAAACTGCTAACCTTGCAATGTATAGAAACACTTTTTCTGAGAAAGTGCAAACTTCCAAGTCAGTATACAAGATTTAAACCAACTTCATTACTGAAATACAGAACACACAGCTGCACAGAGTGACCCACAGTTTTGCAATACTCTGATGCCGACATGCTCAAATGGTCTCAAATGGTCCCAAAAAAAAACACTAAAGCAAATTGTTGAATTCACCTGGAAACCAAAGCAGATGGTTGGGATCACGCTGAACATCGATTCCCAGGCGCCAGTCCTGTGGACACATCAAGACTTTATCTGGAGTTTTTGTTATAATCACCACATCTAACAATGTTTAAAAACCAAGAATAACCATCTGAAGATATCTACAATCTCATTCTTTGAGTTATCATATCTCCTGCTTTGCCTTTTGGTTCAGGTCTTTCTCTACCACAACAAACTTGAGCACCACCTGCATTACAGGAGAAAAAGTCCCAATCCTCCCGACCATCTCTCACTCCATCCAACCAAAACTCATAAACAAGGCACTTAGATACCCCCACCCAACAGGAGCAGGCCTTTTTCTGATCAAGGTCCAAACCACAATGAAAATTATGACCCAAAGAAACCAACAGAACTGCATAATCAGGAAAAAGCAAAGATGAAACATCCATGAACACAAATGGAATCAGTGACATAAGAAAATCTTAGCAGAGTCCTTCCTGCACTGCATTTAGTAATATTTCACAACTGAGATAAAGCTCAATGTTATGGTCAAGTGAGTTAGTGATGGAGAGAGTTTAAACAGTGATGTCTGATTTAGATTTTAAGGAGATTTATGGTTAAACCTAGTTAAATATAGCTCAAATAACGGATGCGTTTCACATACCCACTGGAGTAGAAAGGGCTTCTGTGATCTGGAACAGGCGGCATGGTGAAGTTCTTTATGATTATGGATACAGTCAGGTAGGTTGCAGCAAGCGTACCCAGAACACTAGGAGAGGACCAGGAAAAACAGTTTTAGACTGACCATACTGCAGTAGGGCATCCTTTGTTAAGTATTTACATTGTTTCAGCTGGTAACTGTTGTTTGAGCCACATCTGCCGTCCTATGGAAAAGAAAATTATTTGAAAAGGTGATAAATTACACAACCTGGTGTATTTTTGGATGGTGATCTCCTTGGGGATGGACATTGGCATGATGAGGAAGAAGCAGAGCAGAACCAGGGCAAATCGGTGGTCAGTGTAAAAGTGATAGGGCATCTCAGACTTTGGCAGAGCAGTCACCAGCTCATACAGAGTGTTGCACACTAAAGGACAGAAACCAGATACAAAAACAAAAGTTTAGGATGCATATTTCATTTGGAGGTTCATTTTGAGTCTCTGTTAAGCATGAATAACAGTTGCTTAAATTATGTGAGACAAAATATCTATTTTATTATCTTAATAATTTTAAATTTCTCTGAGGTTGTTATTTCATTGTGCCTGGGCAAATATAAGCTGTACTCAAGAATTTTGGTTAATTCTGAACACTGGATCTGGTCCAACTAAAGAGGGCACAAAAAATAATAAAATCACAAGGAAGTTTTATTCAATGTGATAATCTGAAGAAAGTGATGATACCTCCGTCATCCTCAAGAAAATTAGATTGGCATCATACTGGTACATTTAAAAAGATATGGTGAAAATGTTAAATATCACTAATCATCAAGATTAAAAGAAACAAAGATTTGGTATAGATCGTTGCGTGATGATTCTGTATAATATACGAGTTTCACTCTTTTGAGATGGATGGCAAGAAATATTTGCACTTTTGTATTTGCAGGTACATCCTAATTTATTTAGATGTACCTGTAATATGATCAGTGAAAAATATTTATCTTTTCCTCATTATTAAATTTTCTTTTATATGTGCTTACTCCAGATGCATCCGTTTTTATCACTTCATAGTCTTGACTTAAGGGAACTTTACACTGATTGGAAATTTATTAAACTTGACCAAATGAACACAGTGATATGACACAACAATTGTCAATAAAAAACACAATATATATATATATATAGATATATATATGTAGTCTGAATGGAAATGCATGTTGTCACACAAGAAAGCTTACTCATCTCATACCTTTCTGACAAAATTGTAGATGACAGTGGTCCAAAAAAATGCAATTTACGTCACGTTTGTGAAATTCTGTTACATCCACAAGGACGATAAAGAGCAACATCTCTTCAATAAATTGAGAAGGGTTATTTTTGACCATTTCCTTCTGTAATACAGCTGGTACTGACAAAAACTTAAAACAGTCTAGTTGACCATGAATAGTGCTCATTAGGAAATTATTTGTAAGATTTGGTGCAATATTAAATACCACTTTAAAAAAATGACTTAAATCAAGACTCAAGAACCTGACGAGAGTTGAATTCTTATTGGAAAATCAACTACAGGAGTGAGATTTGTGAAAAATAAATCACGCAACAGAAAATTTTTTATGCATAATTTGTAATGTGGTGACAAAAGCCTTCCAGAGAAATCGTAATATCGGAGCTGGCATTAGTCACTCAGGTACCCTGATAGGCGCATGTAAAAAGATGCTTTACTATGTTTTTTTGGTATATAGAAAAAACTGTTTACTGTTTCTTTTTCTCTCAGTGGAAACTTTCACTGCTGCTCTCGAACAGCAGCAAGTAGAAGGAGAGGAGGACAGGATGGGAGAGAGAAGCACAAAAACACAGACAGTTATCAAACTTTAACAGACAAGTCTGGGATAGATGTGAAAAAAAATTTGCTAGCGTCTTGATTTTTATGTAACTGTTTATTGATTTCTGGTTTCTTTAATGGATAAATATCTTCATGTGGATATAAATAGAGAATTTTTAAAAGAAGGGAATAATAATTTTAAATATTGAAATAGTGAGATTTTTGTTTTGGACATAATGTTCTTGTTATTTAAAGCAATTAAATACTTTGAAAGAAAACGTAAATGTTCTGCTCAACCACAGCACTTTGTTACAGGTATAAAACTTGAACAATAGTAAATATAAATAACTATGACTGTTGATTTGTTTTCATTCACTCCATAATTACACACATTTTGGGTTATTAAATACAGTTAGATGGAATGGGTGCAATTTCAGAAAAAAATATAAAGAGGGGAATTTGGGAAATAAAAATAAAACAGAATTTTATAAAGTCCAAGTCTCATCTTTTCCTCCAGCTAATTTGTCACTTTATTACTTGACTACTCATGTTTTACGCATGTTTATTTTAAATATGCTGCTATATTTACTATAATTATTCTATTTTTCACAACTTCTGTCCCTGGAGAACTGGTACCCTACAAGAAGTTTATGATCAGCACCGACTACAATATACTGTAAATCACTCATAAGCCGATATGCAGTCATATACAGTCCTAAAGCAATGTAATTATCTCACCAAGTATGAATGCAATTGTCACCAAACTTAAAGAAAAACACCCATCTGGAGCAAGGCAACGAACATCAGCTACAGAAGTGCAGACCTAAAGAGACGATCATTACTCACACTTTTCCAGCTGGTCATTCACTACGACCAGAAAGGCCACAGAGATCATGAAAAGGTTGAAGATGAAGCAGATCTCACACAGCTGACCAATGGCTGTGCCACACAGCTCCTTCACCACCGCCTGGTAGGTGTGCTGACGACAGATAGAGGAGGAATAGCCCAGAATGATCAGCCCACTGATCAGGAACACGAGAGAGACCTGAGGACAGAAACACATGATTGCAACACTTGACTTTTGAGGGATTTGTTTTAATCTGCATTCACAAACACTGAAGCAACGTCATGTTTTTGAAAACATTATTTATCATGATTTGAATAGTCGAATTACTCACATTCTTGATCATCCATATTTTTCAGAAAGTTTGGGTGTTTTTTTAATTTGCAGAAGCAAATTAAGATTAATGATTTTTATGTCTTGTTGAACTATAGAGAAGTTTACTGTAAACAATATATGGATGTAAAAGGCATCTTTAGATTAAAAGCCAACTGTTGCTACGTTTAGGCACATCTAAAACACTTAATCCGCACCTGTTTTGTTAACATTACATCTCATACTGGCTAGCTATAAATAGCATCTAACACTAAACAAATTAAACAGTTAAGCACTGGGCAGCTCTGCAATATTTAGCAGTCAAGCAAGCATAAATCACTCTAATGAAACAACAAAACGGTGTAATAATGTTGAGGGCAGCGCAGATAACCAGTACATACATCTGCCTCCAGATCCCAATTTGCCATAGGATAGTGTTACAAATTGTTTTATATGTGTTCAGGTAAGCAGCCAGAATACTCAAGAGCCATAAGGTGAAGCTAGAAAACAGCAGGCTTGCTAAAACCCGTTAAGTTTTTGCCGTAAAAAGATCTCTTGTTGCATTTAGGCCCCCTTTTCAGTCACATACCAGTACACCAACTGTGAGATCAAATGTTTATTAAACAGACAAAGTTGCCTGAAATCATTTTCCTCCATTCCAAAGAAGTATAGTATCTGAACACTTCTTTACTTTGCATTAGCTTTTTGGAATGTAAGGGAAATTGGGTGCAGTATTTTGGAGTATTTATCAGAGTATTGAAACAGATTTCCAAACTGAGTCTTTTAGAAGTAAAATTTGTACATAGTGAAATCACTTCAATATTCTGTTCTGCACATAATTTAATCCTGTTGCATTTAAGATAAATTGAGACAATAGCACTTCATCTTATTATACAAAGAAGACAAATTATTACCAAACAACTTTTAGTTTTTTTAGACTTTCTGATATCTTCAATAAATTAATAACATCCTTATTTCAAACACAGTGACACTAAACATTAGCTGCTAAGTACAAGATATGTGTAATTTAAAATGTTGTATTCAATGTAAAGAACATTTATTTTGAATGCAACACATAATAATTTTGCAAGTCAATCAAGTTTGAAGAACAGCCTAAATAAAGCAAAATATGTACTTAATTTTGAACGCAGAGCTTGGATTTAAAGTAGTTTAGCAGTTAAAGGTCAGTAAATAATATTTGTTCATCCTTGCATCATTACGGATTTCTATGTATTCCCAAAAAGAGCAAAGAATCCAATTTTTTTTTTTAATTTTTGTACAAGAACAGCCACTTTTAAAACTAACCTGAGATAAGAGCAGAGTTTTCATTTACTCCACAATAAAGATAAATACAGTTCAAGAATAATGTTTTCATGTCCAATCTGCACATTGATCTCTTTCTATTGTGGGACAAACTTAAAACACAAGAGTCAGAAAAACTCCTTAAAGAGCTTAGGTCAGAGCTGAAGACATCTCAGGTGAAACAAATCAGGTTAATTTACCCGATTTACAATTCTGCGTCAGAAGTTCCAAATATCTATAAATATTACCCCATGTAGAGATAAATATTACTTTTAAACAAACGTGTTCTTTCTAAACTTTTAATACGACATTTATTCTTTTATTATTATTTTTTTCGAGTATCTCAAAACGAGAGCGCTCTCACCAGCTCCACGGTGACCGCGCTCCGAACCCCGCCGGCTCGAGCGAAGGCCCAGGGGAAGTTCAGCAGGCCGGCGCCCAACGCGGACTTCAGCATGATGAAGACGGCTCCCATGGAGCCCAGCCGGGGCCCCGCGTCGACTGGCGGCTTGGCAGAGGTTGAGGCCAGCAGGCCGATGCTCTCCCTGGCTAACTCTTCCATGCTCTGCTCGGCAGAAGAACCACAGCGAGATTCGGCCAGAGCGGCACTCTGAGCACCGACGGCCGCCCACTGAACCAGGTGAGCCCGGGATAGAGGGGAGGGTCGGTCTGTAGGGCAGCTGCTGCCTTCAGGGACTGCTCGGAAGCTTAACATTTATTGTACGCGTGTGAATAAAACTGAGATGCTTTGATTTTTAATTTATGACCTTTTTTTTGGTTTGTTTGTTAAACAACTTCGTATGTCTTTAAGATGCTATAACTCTTGATTATTTTGTTCAATAAGTGATAAATTAATCATTTGAGTTACGAACTAGTCTTTCTGAAAGGGTCACCATTGAGGGCAACAAAGCAAGCTTAATGCACACAAAAAATATAATTAGTTCATTATATTACTAATTAATGTTAGTAAATAAACAAAGAACTAATCAAAGCTTGTCCTTTCTGACATTGATCGAGATGGTCATTATAAAGATGACAATTACGTTTATTTTTGTAATATTTATCTTCTCTTCAGTTATATTTTTTATTTCACTACTGTAATGGAGAACATCTGCTGCACCAGGGTATAATTATTCTAGTACTTTAGATTTTTACTTTTGTAATTTTGATGTATAGTGGAATTCACTAAAAGTTTTAGAATAATATCCCGTTTCTAAGTAGTTGTAGCTTAAGAGAAGTTACCCACAGAGACGGTTGGCTACGGTTGTCCCAGTTTTTGCCCCAACATAGATTATGTTTCATTGGAACATAATCCATGCTGTTTCAAAGTTTTGAGAGATTGTCCATTAGAGTCAAATCTGCTCTTTAAGAAATGGTTTTTTGGGGTACTTTTTTCCTGACTGACGCTTGTGCAATTAAATGATTTTGGTTATTTTTATCCACTCTGCAAAGTATGGCTTTATATAAGGGCGATAAAGAGCAAATGCTAATAAGATCCTGGAAGGTTAGCTGAAGTAACCTTCCAGGATACATTCCTTAAATGAATCTGTGCTGGGTTTTAAAATTTGTCCCTGCAGGTTTCTAACAACATCAGCAAAGACCAAAACAGTTGGAGTTTTTGGTCTTTGCCACTGGTACACAGAGTGAAACTGTTTTTAATTTTAAAAAGTGGCAGATGAATACCAAAGACAGATTCTGAAATGGGAGCAAAAAGTGCTTTAACAAAGTATTAGTTTAAGGGTCTGCAAACTTATGCAACCAGGTCATTCCAGGTCTCTTTGTTCTTTTTACCTTATTATCCTCACATAGATTTGTGTGACAGCTAAATAATGTCAGACAGATGTCACATTAAAGGTTGGGCTAAGCTTTGAAAATATTTATTTGTCTCCTACCATAGGTGTTGACACATTTCATAACAATCAGCTGAAATTGGACTTGGATGTAATCCAACTAAAAGCTGATTTTATGATTTTGGCATTGGTCATCTAACTCAGTCAACTAGAAACACATTATGCTCAAGGAAACATGGAGTGGGGCTAATCCAAAGACACGTGAGGAGGTGGAATTGGAGGAGAAGCAGGGGTGTAAGATGCAGAGTGGTACAGCACAACCACAGAATTTAAAATATTTCACCATGATTCTTCCAGGCGACCTGACTGGCCAAACAGGAAGTCCTCTAAATCTGGGAACGTTGCAAGGAAAGAGTACATGTGACCTCCTCTCACCACCAGCTTTCCCAAATCTTGTTAGCGCATCTAGCCATCTCCGAGGTCATTTACCAGTTTCCCAAGGTTCCAAGAGAGATTAGCTTCAGAGCGGGGCCATCAACAAAGAGGACAGGTGACAGACTCACAGGCTGATCTCACCGATTAGACCCAGATAAAGAGCCTAAGTTGAGAGCCTGGAGCACCTCTGATGAAATCAGCCTGCCTCACTGATTATGGCCCATAATCAATCCCAACTCCAAGACTGGGATGGATTTGTCTGTTCAAACTGAAATTACTCCTCAGAAGGGAATGCAGTTATTTCTTCTAGATCAGGAAATGTGTGCCGTTAAGCAGCAAGGTGAAAAGGAATTTCACATGGTAAATCTCATCTTTTTAATCAGTTTTTCACTCCGAAGGACTGCTAAAATAATTTTTTTTCACTTTTTCATGACACCAACAGTGAAGCAATGTCTAAATGTTCAGGAAGTATTAATTATGACAGCGGCTCCTCAGCAAATCACTGTAATTTTTCAATCCAGCCGGGACTTGATTGAGTTAATCATCGGCGCTCCCACTCAGACATTGGTTGAAGCTAAATGTCACCCTACGTTTGTTTTTTTTTTCCCTTTTGCTCATCGCCAGTGATTAATAAATCCTTTTGTTCTTCGAGGTTCAGACATACACGAAAATAACATAAGCCAGTTATAGCACTTTGAGATTTCTTTGAAATATAAGGTGCGTTACAAATAAAATTTATTATTATTATTATAAGTTAATAATCACAAACATATGGGCTCTAAACTATTTATAGTAAAAAATAAACCACAGCCTCTTTAAGGGTTCTCCGCACCAGGACATTTTTAAAAATACATTGGTCTTCAGTGAAAATAATGGCTCTCAAGTGTACAAACACACCCAACTTATGCCATACCATCATTTATTAGGCATAAAAAGCTAACATGGAAAGGCTGTGTGTGAAAAGTTTAACTGCACCCTGTTACCATGGGATTTAAGTTAGATTAACAGCAACGTGCCGATAATCACATACACTTGATTAGATGATCATCAGAGCGAGTATGTCGATAAAACAGTTTTTGTTCAGTTTGCAGTTTCTGAGCATACACTTAGGTTAACAGACACAACCACACATACTCTGAAGAGAAGCAATTACTGACGTCCATCAGTCAAGAACGATTTTATGACAGTAGTGTCCAACGTCAGATCTCAATTTCTCTGTGTGGTTCAACACCTGAATAAAAATAATGGCTCATTAGTAAGCCTCTGCTGCAGGTTTGCTGCCGTTTGCCCTGTTCATGACCCAGTTTGAGTCAGACTTCACCTGTTAAAACAGTCTCACAATTGACTTTGGAATATTTTGTGAAAAATTATACTTTCATCACCATGTTGTTGGTAGATGAAACAAGGTGCCTGTACCAGTTTGGGTTTCATGTCCTGCATTATGTATCCCAATTTGACTTGTGTTAATCTTCTTTAGGTTCTTTCAGATGTGACTTTTTATAGCATTGCTTTTAGAAAGCAGGCTTTCTCCTTTCCAAACAAGATCATAAACTTCAACATGCTAACTCTGGAGGGGCTAAGGCTTTTGGCTATTTATATGATGATTGGGACAGCTTAAAGGGACAGTATAATGCAATTTCCAGGCACATTTTGCCATATTATAGCAAAATCAAGTACCTATGTCATCTTTGGTTGTTATAAGAATGCTGGGGCGTGCTGTAGTGGCGCAGGGAGGTTTGCACGTCCCACTTTTGGAAGCCTCAGTCCTTGACGCGGATGTCACGGGTTCGACTCCCGATCCAGGCGGCCTTTGCTCGCTCTCTTTCCTGACTACCTACTGTCAAAAATACGAGCCACTAGCGTCTTCAAAAAAAAAAGATACTGTGTTAAACTAACATGACTGTATGTTAAACATGACATTTAACATTGTAATTTAACACCTTTAAATAGGGCCTCTTTCTCTTTAAGAAGTTCCTGCTGTATAAATGTACATAATATGCATATAACAAAGAGCTGCTTGGACTGCAACGTATGTTAGCTAATAAATCTGTCTGAATATTGTCAGAGGTGATCACACTGACAATATGTTATTTCCATCACCAAACTGTGACTCAGCCTACTAAATAATATTGATGAAGGAAACATGTGTCCTACATGTTCTAGCTGCGTCTCAGCCCCAACGCAGCTGAATTAATGGCTGAATTGCCTCCTCTGTATTTTATCTAGTTTTGCAGAGGGCCAGTCATAAATCAGTCATTTCATTCAAGTGTGTTGGAACAAGGACACATTCAGCTTGAGGCCTGGATTTGAAGACGTCAGCCAGACCTTTCCCTTGTGATGAAGTCTGAGAGTGAAACAAAACCACAATCCCTTTGATGATGCTTTTTGTTTTATTGATGCAATATCTGACCAAGTCTGTTGAAGACACTGGAGTCCAAAAGGGAGGATTTCAACAGAAAGCCTGACCAGATGTATTGACTGTATAAAATATAAAAACAACAGTGATGTTCAACAGATAGGGGCAGGACTTAGAAAACCGGGGTCAGGCAATTTTATCCCATTTGTGTGCCAACTATTTAAAGAGTTACTGACAAGTGTAACACATATGTTTTAGGGTAAGAACAAATTCAATAAATATAAAAGCAAGATATTTTACTTATAAAGAACCCATTTGGTCGAAGAAGACGAAAGGAAATGTTGACACAATGTGTACTTGGACTGTAGCTGGACTTTTAGGACCCAGACTTGGGTGTTGTCTAACACTGTTCATTGGTCCACAGATACACACCAACACTAACGACGGCCTTAAACAGACAAGAGGCACATAAAAAAAAAAAAAAAACGCTTCCAGATGTCGGACGTCAATTAAAGTCCGGCGAGCTTTAAAAAGCAGTCCAACAGTCTGCCCAAGCACTTCAACTCCACTGACTTGTCACTTCAACGTCTCAGTTCTGGAGTTGGGCCCAGCTGTTCGGCAACAGTAAAAATATGCAGTCACACAGTGGGGTTTTTCCCAGCTGTCGCTGTCTGCTGCTGGAGGTACGTGGGCCGTTTGATCCGGGGTTTCCTGCGCTTCGGTTTGCTCTTGGCTTTAGTGAGCTGAACCACAAAAAATGACAGGACAACCATCGCTCCCAGGAAGGCGAACACGGGATGGTCTGACCAACTTCTTGGTTGTAGCGACCCGGCATTATCCCTATAGGGAAAGAGAGTAAATGTCATGAACAGCTTTGTCCAGTACAGGCGCATCTCCGACAAAGATATCAAATGCATTTTTGTTTTTCAATTGAAAAAGTGAAACATGGATTCTTTAAACAAAACTATTTCCACCACAATTTCCCCGTCTGTATCTTATTGCAATGAATGAATGAAGTACTCAGAAGAACCAGCTT